TTATATTCTTGTAAAAATACATTTAATCTTTTCCGTAGCTTTACATACTGTTGTAGTTGCTGACTTCTCCTTATGAAAAAATAGCCTATATTTAAATGTAATAACATAGAATTTCTATCATTCCAATTATCAAGAAATAATTTTAAATATTTCAAATTAAGATACAAAACCTTAAATTCAGTAGAAAATTTAAACTTAAATAAACTAATTGGTGAAAATTTCAATACTTCAAATAATTTATTCCATTTAATAGTATGATCAATAATTTCCAAACTAATTAAAGATTGACAGTTAATTAATAAATTCTTGAATTCTGTAATATTCTCTTTATACAATGTTAACTCAAGAAATTTAAGATTTGGACATTTTTGATAAATTTTCTGGATAAGTTTTCCATTATCATCAGGATTATATTGATGATATTGATAAATAATAGAGATTTCAATGAGATTTCCTTTTGTACTATCAATTATATTTTTACAAATATTTGCTGGAACATCTACTACTTTTAAAGATTTTAAAGATTTTAAAAGAGGAAAAGTTCCTTTTACTAAATAATTCAAATATATTCTATCAGTAAAATTTATTATTTCTAGACTTACTAAATTTATTAAATATGAAAAAAATTTTGGGACAGGAATCCAACTTATTTTCAAATATTGGACAGTATCTGCACATTTTATTATTGATTCTTCAAGTGTTTTGCAAAATAGTTCATCCCTCGGCATTTTTGAGTTGAGGTTGAGACTGATTCTTTTTAGGTTTTTTTGAACTTTAATTAATCTATTAATTCCATGATTACTGATATTGTCGTACTTATAATTAAATATCAATTGTTTAATTGATGTATTCATTATAGCCAATTTTTCCAAAATATTGCTATTGGTATAATCACAATCAAGATATTCAAGTTTTGAAAAGCAATGTTCAGAACCTTAAATATGACACAAGTTTATTTTTGGGATAGAAAGAGAAACAAATTTTGTTTCACTATTAATAAACAATTTCATTATTTCATTTCCTATAATAGATTTTTTAGACATTTCAAAATTTTTTGCAAAAACATTTTCCATTATATTTTCCAGGACATATAAATTTAAATGCCTCCAAAAACTAATATAATTAAATAAAGGTCGTTGATATATTTCTTTAAAAAGATCAATTCCTTGATACTTCAAATTATTTCTTGATTCTTCTGATAAATGTGAAAGTATTACATTAAATAGAATATTGCATACTTTATAGGATATGTAACCTTTCTTATTAGAAGGATTCTGCCATAAAATTGGCACTGTCAATCTACACCAAGTTCTATTGATTAAAAGACATGAATATAAAGATTTTGTATCGTCTTGTAATTCTTTCAATATTAGTACAATTATGTCATTGCATAGCCATAACATTTTTTCTGACATTTTTTTTTCAAAGGAAAGAAAATGACGGATGGCGTAAAAAATGTGTACGACTATTAATTATTTACTTATTAATAAGGATCTGATTTGATTTAGACAAATTAAGTAAGGCCGTATGTACAATTTATTTGGTACTTCTCGGGGACTTGCTTTTTTGGTTAGTCAAAATCCTATTTGTCACACAATTATTGTTTCATGTGATCACGTGTTGGGCGATGTTTTATTAGTGAAATCTATTTATAGAAGCGGGAAGCGGGATGAAAAAGAAATATACCGTGATTACCGTCATGCATATTTTATAACTGTTTTCCGGTTTTTTATAATACTGTACTAGTAAATGAAAAATTCAAATATAAAATTATTAAGATTACGCTACTATTTAAACGTCATATGATAATACCCAAGATATAGTAAATAATTTATTTAATATATACAACTTCTTGTTAAATACAAATAAATTTATAAAATAATAATAATAATGATAATAATAATGATAATGATAATGATAATGATAAATAATAATAATAATAATAATAATAATAATAATAATAATAATAATAATAATAATAATAATAATAATAATAATAATAATAAAAAATAATTTACACCAATGTAGCCTAATCCTTAATGATAATAATAATATGAATATCTATGACGATTTAACCTACAAAAGGTAATTTTAGGTAAACCTGTCACGTTAGCATTGTATGCGCCTATCATGTCAATTTTTTTTTCATAAAAAATCTTTATTCCTTCCAAATATCGACAATTACTAAGAATTAATTTTATTGTTTCTGCACAATCTCTTTTAACTTTAGTAGAAAGTTTTATAAGGTTTGGGCAGAATTTAATTATTGCCAAATTTAATGAATTATCATTACCTTTAACGTATAATTCTTTTAAATTTTTTCCATTATTTTCCAAGAATTTTATTAATAATTCGTTCCTTGGACATTCTTGTTTAAATTCTAAAACTTGTAATTGTGGAAAAATAGCATATTGTAATTTATTAAAATCTTCATAATGCTTATTAAATGATGTTAATGTAAGGATTTGTAAATTTGTGAATCTAGCGATGAATGATAATGACATGTTGTAAATCCATCTTCCTTTATAAATATTTAATGTAATCAAATTATTAGGAACATTTGCTATCAAAGCAAATATACTTGCAAATTTTACGCAAATATCAGATTGCATAATAAACAAGTGTTTTAAATTTCGTTGAACAGAAATTAATTCTTCTAATCCATTTGAAATAAATTCGTTAAATTTTATTCTTAGCGTTTGTAGGTTGTAACATATTTGAGACAAATGATAGAAAAGTTTAGGACTAATATTAGAATAACAGGTTAATTCTGAGAGATACTTTAAACAATCTTTTGCTCCGTGATATGATGTAAAAAGTGTAGTGTTGAATGAAGTCATAATTTCTACTTTTCTTAAAGAAGTAATTTGTCCCATAAGGAATTTATATATTTCCTTCATCATTATAACTTTACTATCTTTTAAATGTTGATGAGTAATATGTCGTTTTGTAAGAAATTTCTCAACCTTGCAATTAATTTCATAAACTGATAAAAATTTACAAAATGAAGCATAATTAAAAGCTGGAGGATTCGAAGTTAGAATGGTAATTCCATTCTTACACAAGATTTCTTTTGATTCATCCGGGAAGAAAGCAATTAAAGCGCTAAGATTTCTAATTTCTCTCCAGTAAATCCTGACAGAAATTTTACACCAAAGTCGATTTATTAATAAACATGAGCGTAAATTAACTTTATCTTCATTTAAATATTCAACAATTTCATTAATACAATCACCAGTAAGTTGCGACATTTTGAATAAAACTTAACAGTATAACGGGAAAAAATGAGACAAGAATTAAAATCTCATTATGTGTTACATTAGGTTCATGGCGTATTAATTTATTTATGAAGTTGTGTAACATTTTAAAATGAGGTAGAAGGATTTTCCTAATCGTTTTTGATTGGTACATCTTATCACATGATTTTAATATTATATGACTCCGGTCGTTAATTTTAATCATTTCAATTATATACATTTACCGAAGTTGTACACCAAATAAAAATTTTCTTCTCATCACCCGACTACTAACTCATTTATGTTGGTAAATTATTATTCCTAAATTCGTTCGTTTATTAATTTATGCAAATTTAAATTTTGGCTCATGGAATTTGTCAATTAATAAATATTTTATCTGAAATCCTACTAATCACAAATAAAAAACGAGTGCATATATATTTAACTTATAAACGTTTATTAATTTTAATATCTATTAATTTTGGTACATCAGACTTGATAATGTACGGTATTGATACGAAAAAAAGTTGTCGTTCATATGATTTAAATAAAAGGAGGAAAAAATGCATTTTCTTATCAATTGCTTTCTATTTACCATCCTCATAAAAAAAAAATTTTCTGCTAATTAATAATTTTCTTTATAGATTTAAAAATATATATAATTAGTATCATTATGGTTGCGTTAATTTTCGATTAAGGATGGGTAATCGATCCTACCGGTCCTACTCGGTCCTGGACCGGTCGGTCCCGGTCTTGCATTTTTTTGTGGCGCAGTAGGTACTGCATATCGGTCTTCATATAATAAATGATTTTTATATTACAACTGATTTCAAAAAGGTCGGAACGCTTAGCAAATTTTCAAGAACTCGGAAATTTTCTGTAAATCTTGATATAAAATAAAAATTATACGCTAATTTTGGGAGAATGGTGGCTTTACCGAATACTTCCGAGTTCTTTAAAATTTGCTAAGTGTCCCTACATTATGAAATCAGCCGTAATTCAAATAATTAATATATTCCCGAATCTGAAAATTCACTATTTATTTAAGAGGTAAAAATACATTAATAAAGTGACTCTAATCTGAGTAATCTCTTGATTCTTTTGCTAAATGTGAAAGTACTACACATGCATTATCGGCTATGTTATGTTGCTTATTAAAAGAGTTCTTCCATAAAATTGGCACTGCCGTTTCGCACCAAGTTCTATTGACTAAAAAGACATGGATATAAAGATTTAACATCGTTTCGCAATTCTTCCAATATTAGTATATTATGTCATTGTGTACGTAGTCTTCTGACACTTTTTCTGACGTTTTTTCTGACTTTTTTAAAAGGAAAGAAAATTGACAAACAGCGTAGAATGTGAAATTATTAAACTATTTATTAATAAGGATCCGATTCGATTAAGGCAAATTAAGATTTACGTTTTATATTTTTGATCTCATTACGTATTTGCGGCCTTACTAGCCTTACTAGCGCTTATTATGTGATTTCTATACTTTATACGAACATTTTCAATAAATTAGTAACAGTTTACTTTTATGAAATAGTTCAAATACAATTTAAAATTAATCCTTTCTCTTCACGAATTAAATCCATTAGTCGGTATGTGAATTTTATTACATCTGTAATTACAATTGTATTTTTTTTTAAAAAAAAAAGATTATAAAGATTCGACATCTTCTCGCAATTCTTCCAATACTACTATATCCTGACATTTTTTCTGACATTTTTTCAAGGAAAGAAAATTGGCTTATAGGACGGATGGCTTAAAATGTGTATGACTAATCAATTTTTTTATTATGATTTGATTTAAGACAAACTAAGTAAAGTCTAATTTAATACAGTTATAATTTTATTATATACAGTATATAGTTTAAGCTATCTGCTATGTGATCTACATAATGATATTTACTAGCGTTTTCAAAGAAATTTTCGTTTACGGTGTATAATATCGAATTCGAATGCACCGCGTATTTTGCAAAAGGAAATATGAGGTAAGTATTCAGGTAAATAATTCTTAGTTAAACCTTTCGTAATGACAGTAATATTATTTTTCGTAAATATTGATTTTTCATAATAAACATCAATATACTTTAAGTATTGAAAACTATTAATAAACAATTTTAATATTGGTTCAATATCATACATAATTTTGGTAGCAATATAATTAAGATTTGGACAAAGATCTATCACTGCTAAATTTAATGTGTGGCCATTCCGTTGGACATGGAATCTTTTTAGATTTTTGCCATTGTTTTCCAAGAACTTTATCAATAAGTCGTCCTCTGGACATTCAAATTTGAATTCCAAGGTTTGTAGTTGTGGAAAAATAGCATGTTGTAATTCTTCAAAAAAACCTTTAATATAAAATGTTAATGTAAGACTTTGTAAATTTATGAGACTAGGAATACATGTTAATAGCACTTGAGGAAATCCTCTCCTCCCATAAATATCTATTGAAATCAAATTATTAGGGATAACTTCTGCTAAGGTTTCTATTCCTCTCAATTCTGTACTATAACCATCTCGAATTAATTGCAAATGTTTTAAATTTTGTTGAGCGGAAATTAAATCTGACAATCCATTCGATACAGAAGTTATGATTATTATTTCTAACGATCGTATATTATGACATATTTGAGATAACTGATGAAAAAATGCTGGATTATAATTCGAATAAACTTGTAATTCTGAAATATTCTTTAAACAGTCTCTCGCTCCGGGGTATGAGGTAAAAAGTGGGGTTTCAATTGATCGAACCAAAGTTTTTAATGTTTTTAAAGAATATATTTGGCTCATAAGAAGTTTAAATATTTCTTGTGAAACTATAACTTTACTATCACTTATATTTTGAACCATCTGTTTTTTAAGAAATCGCTCAATATTGCAAATAATTACACCCAATGATAAAGATTTACAAAATGACACATAATTAAACAGGGGATTTGAAGTTGGAATTAAAATTCCATTATTATTTAAGATTTCTTTTGATTCATTCGGAAGACAAGCGATCAAAGTTTTATAATTTCTAATTTCTTCCCAGTAAATCCTAACGGTTGCTTTACACCAATATCGATTTACTAATAAGCATGAAATTAAAGTTCGACTATCATTTGTAAAATATTCAAGAATTTGGTTCATACAATCAATAGGAAGTTGTACCATTTTTAAATAAAATGTATAAAATTTA